AAGGATAACTTCAAAAACAATATAAATTTGTGAGTTGTAAAAAAAAAATAAAAAAATAAAGAAGTAAAACAAAAAAACAAAAAAAAAACAAAAATAAATATTTATTTACTCAGAACGAATGTTTTTGTGCGCGTCAATGCACATAAATTATAATCGTTAATGATCATCACATTGCACAGAAATTATGATCATTAATAATATTAATGATCATAATTTCAGTGCAATGACGTCACAATCATCACGTTACACTGAAATTATGATCATTAATAATATTAATGATCATAATTTCAGTGCACTGATGTTATGATCATCACAATTGTTAAGATTCTTAACGATCATTATTTTCATGCACTGACATACACAATTGTTAAGATTCTTGACTTCCGTGCACTAACATGCACAATTATTAAGAATCTTAACGATTGTGCACGTTAATGCATAGAAATTATGTGGTCATTAAGATTAATACACATCAATATATGGATATGACACTGTGCACGATAGTGCACGAATTTCAATTTTTTATGTGATAACATGTATTAAATTTTTTGGATGATTAGTTTCCGTGCAGTTTCTGTGCAGTGATACTGAAACCCATGCTTATCTGCATAAAATTTTGTATTTATGCGTGCATTTCTGTGTATCGAGTTTTCATAGGGAAAATCGGGCCCACAATGTCTTTTTTTGATCTTGAAATATTTCGCACACGACAGAGACCAACCACATGAAGTCCGCCACGTAGCAAGAGAATTATAAAGAAGAAAGTAAGTATAAAAAGTTACAGATCTACGTGGCATAGATGTTGGTTTTGTTAGGTATTTGTGTAGGGTGAAAGTTTAAACTTGGTGATATTGGTTTTATTATTATATTTTATCTTTTATAAAAATAGTGAAATTTAAATTTTTCGTATCTAGCAATTTCAATAATTTGTCTGATAATCCTTGCTATAACTTATATCTAATTTAATTTTTATTCAATAAAGTCTCAATTATAGGAAGTAGAGTTCATATGGCGAGATCTCGAAGTCTTGGGCGAAGTAACCAATGCCCTTGAAAAGAGGAAGACTCGAATCGAAGACACAGGTGTTATGATGAAAAAGAGGAGAACAGATCCGGTTAGCGTCAAGATCTGTGAAGATTTAATAAAACCATTCGATGTAGTTCCAAGAGGCGTAAAAGACCTTCTATCCATAATAAATACGCTACTTGCCTGTAAGTTGCCTGTGTCTGTCGACATCAGTTCGAAAGCCCTTCATATGTTTGTAAATATGAGTGAGGCAGATCGCGAATGCCAACTGGCCACTCATGTGACTTATATATTGAGTGAAACAATAACCTGGAGGTGTACTACAGTCAATAAATCTGAGGATATGTTACATATACCTATAGATTTGTTGATTGGAAATACCCTTGAAATGTTTCGAGAATGTTTAGGTATTCTGTTCAATATTAACAGGAATCAATCTGACATAGAGTTGACCACAAAAGATTACTATCACCCAGACTTCATTTGTAAATTGAAGAGAGCGGTGGTCCTGAAAGGGGAGGAAAAAGCTAGTGTGGAGGACCTAAACCTTGCCCTTGTGATTTGGTCAATAAATTTCACCGAATAGTATTTAGTGAAATTAAATTCATAATGTGCTACGCAATGGCCCTAGGATTGTAGGATTGTAGGATTGTTGGAATAATATTACGTATTTGATTATTTGGCTTTATTTTGTTTTAGTATTTTAGTTTTTTTTTAGTTTTATTTTAGATTTTGTTTGTTTGTTTGTTTGTTTTTTTTTTGCAAAAACACTATTTATAACTGAGTAATACGAATAGTAATAGAGTATGGTTTAGTAAAGTAGTAGAGTATAATACATTAAATTAGAAATACATGTCTATAGTTCGGGTCCAATTTTTATAAAATTTGATATTTAGGGTTTATTGATTGTTTACAAGCTCGAAGTCCAATATGTCTATTTGAATGATATTAATTCTGATGAGGAATCTATCCTATCAATTAGTAGCTCTTCTAAGGATGAAAAATTTTTTGAAGAAAATAATTCTTTTAATAAAACTGATAAAGAGAAAAATTTTCTTGAAAAAAATAATTCTTTTAATGAAAACTTTGAGAATTTTGATATCAATGATACATTTGAAGATAGATTTTCTGTGAGTTCTTTTTCTAAAGAAACTTCTAGATCTTCATCTGAAATAGAAAGTTCAGAAATATTTCTTATATTATAAAGCACAACACTCCATGTTACATTCAAAAAAAAAAAATTGGATTTGTCAAAAACAATTCTCAAAACTAGCATAATTTCATTTGGAAAAGAAGTTTAAAATAATAACAATAGTTTTCATATCACTATAATAAAGCTATCTCGTAAAATCTTAATTTGTGAAAGTATACAATGCTGCAAAATCTTGATTTTTTTAAGCACTTCTAAATTCTTTTTTGGGATACTGTCACATATCATTATATTTTAATTACAGTAGAATTTTCGTGAAGTCACATATAATTAAATTCTTTACGACTATACTATTTTATATATTACATATTATGAATACTGTATAGTATGCAGTTTTATATACTCAAATGCGATTTTTTTAGCATATTCTACTACTTTAATAAACCATACTCTACTACTATTCGTAATACCATTTATATCTTATTCAATCCGGGTATTTAAGATCAAAAACTTTAATGAATATCCGAAATATATAGAAATCATTCGAATGCAAACAAACAAATAAATAATAAATTATATTAAATATTATTAACGCATTATTCTTAAATTACCGTATAAGTTAATTTAGAAAATGTAATATGCAAAGTCAATTGAATACACTAATGAATACAATGAATGGGACTTCTACGAATTTTTGTATCAACTCAAAGTCTTTAGGGTATTATCTAAATCAACAGATACGTAAAATAGATCGAGTAGTGTGTTTAGATTAAATTTTTGCAAAGAATCGTCTTTTTTTTTCTAAGACAAAGTCCATTTCTTGAATAAGACCATACAAAATTAATTGGTTTTAATACCCAGCCATACAATTGTTATCATATATTCAGATAAAATTAGCAGAATCATTTTTGGCCGATTCGATTAAGTTTATGATTTCGGCTTATAATTTAGATTCGGTGACTAATGTTTAAAATTCGCTATCATACAATTTTTATTTCCGACCATACACAACTACTTTCATGTTCATGTTATATTAATAAACTTATAAAAATCTGCACAAAAATTACTCTTGAAAATTTCATTAGTTTCACATTATTATGTATTTTTTGAAAGTAGTTTATCATTAATAAAACTATGTAAATTCGAGTATAAAAAACGTGTTGAATCAACTTCCAACTCCATGTTTAAGAGCAAATACTGTACAAAGTAATTGACATTATGCCTGTATTATTAAATATTGTAAATAAAACGGCTTCCTCGATTTTACTTTTGATTTTTTGCTATCAATTGGCATTCGTGATCTTCTTAGTGCATATATACGAGCTTTCAGAGATCCAACGTTGACAAACATAAGCTTTATTAGGAATCCTTTTTTGAACAGGTTTCAGAAGATTATCACATATAGTATTATTGCTGTTTGGTTTGTGATGAATTTCTTTATAGTTCTTTCCTCTAATTTCTTTCCAAATAAGATACTACCCGGCAAAAATCTCTTGTTTCTTGAACCTTTTAAGTGATTACTAGATTATCATTTATTATAAAAGACATTCTTATATTCATCTCGACTGATTTTGAGAATTAATTTGAAATCACGTTGATCATGTGAAATTAGTCCAAGAAATGATCTCTTTGACATAAGAAGTTTAATTAATATCTTTATCCGCATGAGTTTAGTCTCTTTGAATATGCTAATCTGCAAATGAAGTAAAAAAAAATTTTTGTAAGTTGGTAATATAGTACTTTAACATTTCAATAAAATTATTATCTGATATTTTTAAGTCTTCAGAGAATTGTCTCAATTCCTGAACATCTTACAGGATCTTGATTCAAAAACACTACTAAGTTCTAATATAATCAATTGCTGATGTATTTTTCATTGAAATTTTCCTGACTCATTTATTCATGTGTTTCTAAAAAATTTCATCAAACTTTTTCATATCAGACTTCTTGTCACAGTTACAGTATATTGAGGATTTACAAAGCATCCAATTTTTAAATTTCAAAACATCCCACATATAGCCATTGTTGCTCCATTCATATGTTAAATATTCTGATCAACATTCGTTGATTATATGGGGTCTTTGCTTTGAAAATGACCTTATGGCATCATGTACCATAAGGTCATTTTCAAGGCAAAGACCCCATATATTAAAATATTTGAACTATTAAAAAAAAAAAAAAAAATCAAGATAAACAAATTTGCTCAAGAAAATAAAATAATACAGCGTATAAAAATTCCTACAAGAATCCGATGAAAAAATCCATCATTATGTAAAGACGATAATCCATCTTTACTTCTTGTAAAATCACAGTTATTTGACTATTTTATTTCTGAAAAGTTCTTTTTAAGAAATTACATAAATTCTTGTTCATAGAAAATTGAAGATTATGTTATCTAAATTATTGACGAAATCTGTCTAACATTAATACTAGTAATAAGATTATGAAGTTAAACATTAGAAATGAAAAGTAATAATGATATCTTGTTGATAAATGATTTAATAAGATTTTTAGAATTGGTAAGAGTTCCATCGATAACTTCAGTTTGTCAATTGTTTGGTATTAATATTTAGGCAATCATTTTATCTTATGTTATTTGCGAGCTGTTCTAAATTGATCTCTACTGATTTTTCAAAACTGTCAAATAAATCGTAATTATATGTTTCTTCATTGATAATTTTTCATTTGCACCTATAATTTATCAAAATAATAATAATACCGAATTCGAGCTTTAAATGTATAACACAAATTACTATATATGAAATCTGATATGAGATATTAAACCTAAATTTCTATAGTCTATAGTAGATTGATTTTGAAAATTAGTACAACTTATGTTGTACTAGAAAAATGGCGGCTGGAGTCCTAATTCTTAGGCTTTAATTATTAAAATCGGATTTATAATTTTATAATTGCCTTTAACTTTTAGAATTACATTAATAATAAATTTATAAAGAAAACAAACTTTATTCTTCTATTAGTCTTTGTTGTAATAACATATTTTTATTTCTTATTTCCAAGATTTATTACAGTTTGTAGCAATGTTAAATCTTGTGACTTATGAATTGTAATTGCCCAAACAAGACATATTAAGCTGTTCATATGTTTGACTCTAAAGTCATGAAATATAACACAATCTTGTCCAGTTCATCGAACTACTAAAGTATTAATTGCAGCTGGGTCCGAGATAAACTTGTAATAAATGTAATAAATTCTTGAACATCTTGAAGATTAAAGACAGTTAACATTTTTTTAACTTTGCTAAGCTAAAAATAAAATATTTATTAAATTTGTAAAAATATATTTCAATATATATATTTCTATTACATACCTGGATCTTCTAGTGAAAATCAATTTGTCTCTACTACATCTATTGCAAGCACCAGTTTGATTATTTAGAGTAAATCATTCTTTACAAATGGGACAATAGTTATGTTTAAGTCCCAGCATCATGAAATTTTTTTAGAAGACTACAATTGTCAGTAATTTTGACAGACAGGTTAATTCTAAAATAAGTTAGTTACATGTTAGAATTTTATAACAATAAATAATTTTAGTCAATAATATTTGTACATATGTACCCTTAACATTATTTTCTACATTTTTACTAATTGACGACGTTTATGATGAGCTTGTATCTTTCTGACTTGTTTTTTTATGCATTAATTGCTCTTTCTGAGATATTGAACTTTTTCGTCGCCTCTATCATTATTTTTTTATTTTGATTTGCTCAGGTGTGGGAGTTCTTTTTTGCATTTTAAAATTTGTCAAATTAAAAATACTTCCAATACGATTAACAACAATAAAAAATTTTTCTAAGTACTGTAATATGCAAATTTTGATTACGATATAATTACGTATTTTGTGACATATTTTATGATGGTTTTAAAAAATAAGCTTTATGCATTAAGTAACTACACAATTTTTTGACATAAATATCATAATTTAATGAAATAAATATGATTTTTAAAGTATTTTAAATCGTGAATCAGGTATCCAGACATTGATCCTAATTTAGGCTCGATTCTGGTTATTGAACTAAAATTTGGGTCAGGTGAAGCAGTGCCGGACATTTCAGAAAATTTTGTAGAGTATGAGTTGAAAGGCTTTCACCTCGGTTCCCTCAGTTCCAACCAATCGTTTGCAAGATACTTTTAGCAGACTTTGGTAAGTTGTTGATAGATACTGCACAAATAAAAATAATTTAGTATCTGTTAAATAATATAATCATGTAGTATAAATAGCTAAATTTCACAAAAGTTCATACTAGGAAATGTTTAAAGTTATTCACAACATTCATGACACCATATACGTTCATCGGCAAATTCAAAACTTTTCATTTTATGCTTCAGTATTAGTCGAGTCTAGTAACAAATCATGCGTAACATAAGTACTAAATTGTGAGATAGATATATAAAGACCTATAGTTAAAAGAATCTTCATTACAAAGACTTGAGCAGAAAATTTTCATATAAAATAATACTATAAGAGAATATGACCATTTCTATTGTAACAACAAAATATAGCGTGATAAATTTATTTAATATAAAAGTTGAGGTAATAAATGTTCACAACATTTGTATGTTAATTGTATTATATACCGGTTCCTAGTTCAAATTTTCCATCCTCTCTTCGCCAAAAAAATAAAAGAAATTATAAAGCACTATTAACGCAGGGGATATGTCACACAATCTTTACGATTATATAATTTTCAAATCTTTATTGTATCATATATAGTCATATATATATAGTATATAAACTATATTTATTGTATTATAGTCGCATATATATGGTAAAAATTAAAATAAAAAATAAAAGCACTATTAACGCAGGGGATTAAAATCTTTTTCATAAAAACTATATTTATTACTGTATCACAGCAGCTTTTTTTTTATTTACAATACACAAAATGAGTACTTAGCGCATACTAAACTAATTGCCACTTATAGGTATTACAGTATTATTATGCAAGAATACTGCCCTGACCACTTCGAGTTTTGAGCAGGATCTAAAGGTGGAAGGGTGTTATAGTTAGTATACTGTACTGTAAGTACAGTACCTTTGCAAGTATACCACGTTAATCCTTGAAATTTAATGAAGAACTTAGATTGGAGAGAGAAAAGCATCAACAGAGTTGCTTTGCACGATTACCACTCTAACTGTCTTTAATCTTAACTAAAACTAGAACAATGGTGGAAGAATACTAGTAAAGGTACTTTGAAAGTACATCACACTGATTTTTGAATTTTGGAGAAACGAACTTATATTAGAGAGAAGTATTAACGGAAATGTTTTACAAGAATACCACCTTGATTGTTTTGAACCTTAGAAGAAAACATTAGTTAAAACAGTTTGCAATTATAGGCGCACTGACTTTTTTGTGTTTCGAATGAACTTAGTAGGAGAAACAAGCGATTGCAAGGGCATTTGGAAATAGTACCATTATAGCTCCTTTGAAATTTTGGAGAATGCGTTAACAGAAATACTTTGTAATGCACCATGCTAATTTGTTAAATCTCAAATGAGAGAGAAAAGCACTAGCAGAGGCGTTTTACAAGAACATGGAATGTTTAACAATGAAGAAGAAACAATTGTATGAATAAATGAATGCAATGAGTACTGGGTACAGAATTCTACATGGTTGTATGTGTTTAAGATTACGACTGGACTGATGGGAAACTGGTGCTAAGGCATTAATGCTCTACATATGTGTTTACTAAATGTTAGACTGTGTGTCTTCTTAGTATTAGTCCATTAGGGCACAGAATTTAAGCCTTCATGTCGGACTGATTAAAAACGGGTAATATAGTTGTATAAGAATCGGAGTGGATTAGTGATGGAATGAAGAACGGACATTATAAATTAACGTCAAGAATGAAAAGCTCATATGTTGAATAATAGTGTTAAAAAGAGAAGAAAAAGCTGATGCAGAAAATCTTAATCTTACCCTTCACAATCTCAAGGAAAATTTAATCTCTGATCTTTGTGATATAATATATTTTTTTTAAAGGCTGCTGGGTAAAATTGCGGGTTGAATAAGGCGAAAGAAAAGAAAAAACTACTGCTGAAAACTTTAACCTTACTGAATCCTCTGATCTTCGGTGACATGTGATAATTTTTGACCCTGGGAATTCGTGGTGCTGGGTATTAATTATTACAAAAAGAAAAAGGATATGGATCCAAGCTGTGAAATTCAAGATGTACGATTTCTTTGATTCGCGAGTAAAGGTGCCGATAATATTCGAAAGGGAAATCGAAGACTTAGTGAAAGTGTCAAGGTGAATGAACCAGGAACAAAGGGGAAAATAAAACGCAATGGTGATGAAATAGAAGTATTCGAATGTCATCAAGGTGAATGAACCAGGAACAAAGGGGAAAATAATGGAAATAGTAAACGCAATGGTGTCAAAATAGAAGTATTCGAATGTCATCAAGGATCAACAAGAGTGAATCATGCTGATGAAACTTATAGGGTTGAGAGATAAACGTAGAGCATTCACCTATTGTCGAAAATCCGTTGATGTGGGTAATATTGAAAGAATGATGTTGTTTGGACATTGCTATCAATACGAGATTGAAAATGAAGCGATGAACAAATTGTCGAATGAGAGTGGAATCATAGTTAAGAAGGTTGAATATAGGGCGTTCATCAACTATCAAAAATCTCTTGATATGGAAAATGCTGGCGTAACATATGATCAATGTTATAGGCACTTCACTCAATGGATCGGAAGTAAAATTTTAATTAGTCGGAAATTAAATATATTAACCAAGTGAGTGAGTTACCATTTCGAAGAACAAATCAGCGAAACACAAACCACCTTTTTTCTTCAAAAATTTACCATTGATAAAGGTCGTTCAAGCATTACTTTTACATTTTTTACATATCAAACATAATAAATAATTAATTCTCAACAAATTTCTAACTGGTATAAAAAGATAGCAACTTTATTTTTATGTTCGAACTAATAATCGATGCATTTAATATAAATACAACAATCTTTTAATGTTTAACCATAATTAATACTGGTATTCCATTTTTCACTCATTTAAATTTAAATGTTCTCAGTAAATAAGACCTAAGCTGAAAAATTTGGGTAGATAGATTTCTATATTTGATGGATAGTAAAGAAATTTAAATTGTTGAAATCATTAAAAGGAGGAGCCGTCGTAACTAAAGTTGAAATTTTAACTGTTGATTGTAAAGAAAATTTTTTCATTAGGTTTTTTAGGCAGTAGGCAAACATTACGAAAAACAGAAAAAGTATGCTCAAGCATTTAATTCTATAAATATCGCCATCAATTGTGATGCCATCACAATTATTATCTGATCGATTGATTTAGATGCTTGAGAACAGCCATAATCAAGGAATTAATTGGTGATGAAAATGATAATGATAAAGCATTCAATCACTATCAGAAATCTGCCGATGATATCAAAATGGTATAGGCCAATTGAGAATGAACTATTAGCATTTGAATGGAAACCATACCTTGATTAAAAGGATCTTGATGAATGTTGTTGAAAGGATGAAATCGTCGTCAGTGAAAAATGAACCAGATGTTGTAAAAATTGAGAAATGTGAACAGGGGTTATAGTGATGATATGGACATTGAAAGTGATGAACGAAGGTGTATTGTATCTGGACGATATTTTATCCAAGTTAAGTGACTGGAAATTCGAAGGAAAAGCCAACAAGTTAACCATATACTAAAGATCTCCCAACACGGTGACATAAAATTTTTGAGTAATGTCTGGTTATAAATTCGGTTTTATGCAATCGATGGTCATGGAACCCATCAAGTTAATTAATTCTGCTTACAAATGAGTTTAACATCACGGTTCCACAAGATCACATTAAAATATCCGTAATGTGATAAATATATTTCGCATTGCGGCGAATTTATGAAACTCGGGTACCTTGACTAGACTATGAAGTGCGTCATTTACTATTTGTTTTTGACAATTCTTATTGTAAAATCATATATATAACGTCTAACCCATCTTCCCGTAAAAAGATGGGTTAGACGTTATCTATATGATTTTACAATAAGAAATGTCAAAAAACAAATAGTAAATGACGCACTTCATAGTTAGTCAAGGTACCCGAGTTTCATAAATTCGCCGTGATGGTATTATTATGACAATTAGCACCAGCTTGCCATAATTTCTTATCTGTATTTTTTTTTCTTTTTTTTTGATAAAATACTCATCTGTGTGTTTTTTAATAATAAATGTATAATAGTTTTTTTTTTAAAAAAAAATTAAATCGTATTAAATTATTTTTATCCAAAGTTATTTTTAATATTAATTGTTGTATTATAATGTATAAAAGTTTTAGTTTGAATATAAAATAAATTGATAATATTATTTATAACAAATAATGAATTTTGATTGGTTATTTTTATTTAAGGTTTAAAGTAGCTAATAATCAGTTATACTATGGGATTTAATTTATTTAAGGCCTCATGAGCTTATATACTCGCATTCACATCACTAATCAATTCTGTGACATGACGACCCGGATTTTTTTTTCTTTTATTTTTTTAAAAAAAATTTTTTTTACTAGTAATATAACGTAGGGATGGAAAATGTTTTAAAACAGAATGTTTTAAAACATGATTGTTTGATTTAAAACTGTTTTTAAATGATTTAATACATTCTGACGTATTTATTTATTTGACTAATTTAATCAAAGTACAACTTTTATCATTATCTCTTTTTAAAATATAAAATTATAAACAATCATGCTTCGTGAAAGACCTCCATTAAAAGAAACTCGCTTGAACTTTACAAAAGTTACCCTCGCTAAAAGTGTAACTACTGTGATAAGGACTTTGTGGATTTAGTCGCTTAATTAAAGGATCACTAATATAGATGCAAAAAGCTTCCAAAAAGTTAATAAATAATGAACTGTAAAAATACATTTAAGAATTCAAAAAGAAATTGAGATTGATGGTTGTTTCGAAGATGATGATAATTAAATTTATAATTATGCATTAAATTAAAAAGTGCGTACAAAAAAAAATAAAATAAAAAATAATATATATATATATATATATATATATCGTTAAACACTGCGCATTTCTTGTAATTATATAATAACGAAAGTTTATAAAGTGAATATTTTTTCTTTAAAGTTATCTCTATGAAATTTGATGAATCAGCATTTTAGCTAAATTTTAAATTTAGTCTCAGCGCCAATGTTTTAAAAAGTTTTTTAAAAAGTTTTAAAACATCTAAAAAACTGTTTAAACCGGTTTTTTTTCATCCCTAATAAAACGGCGGCGTTTTTTTTTTTAAAAAAAACCGTAGTATCCTAAATAAAAACCTAAACTCATCAATATAATACCACGCGAAATTAATTGATTTTTATAACCCGGCCGAGTCTATTTAAAAGTTTATATCATAAAAACTAAGAAATAATTTGTATGGCCTAAGCAACTTATTTTATAAATTCATATTAATATACATATGAACAAACATAATAATTCATAAATTCATAAAAACATTAATAATTCACTTATGCAGTCATAAAGAAAGCAATCTCTGTTCTTCAGTTGAACTCTGTTATAAATGGTACTATCCCTCAATTTTTGTAACCTATTATAAGAAAAGTACTACTGAAAAGAAGATCGGCAAGAGCACGAACTTTTGGTGCAACAAATGTAAGACCTATAGCAAAATCCTTGTTGTCAATGTCTATTATGGTTTGTGATAATGTTAAGCTTTGCGATTAATGAACCGTAATCGCACAAAGGAAATTGCATATGTGAGTCCTTAATTTTCTCTTCTAAGTATATTTAATTGGACGAATTGGTACCACCGTGAGCTATTTGGTATAGTTAAAGTTGGACTGTATAATAGACCATTGTGAATAGGCATAAAGGTGGCTACTTTCTTTACAAATGGGACAGAAATTAGATTTAAGTGCAGAAACTGCGTCACGAAACTTTTTGAAGTTTATGATCATCGTCATAAAGCTGATAGGTGAGGTAATAACAAAATAGTTCGATTTTCAAAAATCTCAATGAAATTATGAATTTATAATGGGAATACAGTAAATAAATATTACGTTTAGAATTATAGTCTTTGTTCTTTATTATTGTCTATTCACTATTTTTGTCTGCATTTTCTTCACTAATAGAATTTGTCGGTTGTGCCGATCTTACCTTCTTGTTGATGTTCTTCGAAGTTAATCTTCTTCTAGCCTTATTTCTTGCAGCCTTTCGTTCAAGCGTATAAATTCTTTTGTGTTTGCTTTTTATCAATGTAAAAAAATTTTTCAAATAAAAAAATTCAAAGTATCAGCTTAGTAATTAGTTTCTTCTATTTTCAATTTAATGATCGAATTGCTGATTAAAGTTTCTACAGAGGATTGCAAAATTTTTATCATTATTACAGGGTCGGGAGCCGGACATCGATAAGAATTCTATGTGTACGGCTATAAGGCCTTCCACTCCGTTCCCCTCCGCTCCAGCCCAATAACTTATTCAATCCGAGTATTTAGTAAAAAAATTTATATGTTAAAAATTTTACTGTAGCTGTATATGGATCAAGAACTTCAATGAATATCCGAAATGTACAGAAATTATTCGAACACTAACAAACAAGTTTAGCATTTATTATTTAATTACGTATTATTCAGATATGTGCCACTATTAAGTTTTAAAGTACTAAATCCGGTAAATTAAAATTAATAAATTAAAAGTCATTTTGCCCGGCAGCTTTAAATTATGATAGTTTATCGTTTGAAATAATAAATTATATTAAATATTGTTACGCATCATTCTTAAATTACCGTATAAGTTAATTTAGAAAATGTAACATGCAAAGCTTATTGAATACAATTGGACTTTACGAATTTTTGTATCAGAAAACTTAAAAGTTTTTAAGGCATTATCAAATCAACAAACAAGTAAAGTGGATTTAATAATGCGTTTTAGGGTAAAGAATCTTTTTTTTTCTAGGACTAAAAACCCGTTTCTTAAATAAGACTATGCAAAATTAATACCCATCCGGGTCAAATTTTGGAAACTTTCACAGAAATACAGGGACACATGTTAATTAGCAGAATAATTTTCCCGATTCAATTAAATTTATAATTTGGTATATAATTTAAGATCCGATGACTAATGTAAATGTTGTACGTCGAATAGAATCCTATCTTGCTAGACATTTATTATGTACAGTTTTTATATTCGATCAGACGCAACTACTTTCATGTTCATGTTTCCGACTTTATTTCTTTAAGCAATATCTCTGTTTGAATACAGAAATATTATAATCTTTGCATGCTAATACAGTAATTGAAAAAATATATAAAACTTATCAATTCGAAAAATTGCCTAGCATTTA